GGGGGGGGAGCTCGGAAGGGAATCATCGTAATGGTATGGCCAGGCACGCCGGCACGGCACGGAACCCGACGCTGTAAGCGTTCCTCTACACTTTCTCGGCTCAAGTCCGGGGCCCGGGAACAAATGTCACCCTGCCACGCCACGCCACGCCAACCCCCCGGGCTATCACTACACACTGCAGTACTATTATTACAGCGAGGCCTGTAAGGAACGCGGCCTCCAAACAATGAGGCCACGCCCGCCGCCGGCCCCACCACGGCGCCCCGCCCCACCCCGCCGTCCGCCGCGTCCAGCCTGTAAGGCGTATAGTGCCGAGGTAGTATGCTGATTCGAGGCGTTCGGTTTGATCCGGGTCCCAACACCTGCCGGCCGCACGAAGGCCGAAGGCGCAACATTTGTATACAATCTGTTTCAGGCGACTTGCAAATTTATGCGCGTGGGCGGCAGGGCCGTGCGTGGTGTAACAGGCGGTGTTACACGTCGGTGTTACACGTCGGTGTTACATGGACATGAATACGCACGCCGGCCGGTCGCATCAGGTGCTAACGCGGCAGGCAGGGTGGCGCTCCCGGAGAGGCAGCGTCGAGTTACAACTAAACTTTTGTTGCCGGTCGTCGTGTAAGCCGAGCGCTTTTAAAGCCCGTTTCGACACCGCTTAGGGCGTGGCTGCGAAAGAGCGGAAAAGAAGTATAGGGCTGCTGCCCTGGCGGGCGTCGCGGTCGTCTCGGGACGAAGGAGGAGGAGGAGTAGGAGGCCAGGCAGGAAGAAAGTGGTGATTTGCTATTTCGCGAAAAGTGGGGTAGAGAGGGGAGAAAATGGTGGCAAATATTGGGGCGCGCGGAAGAAATAAAGAACGGCATGAGAGAGCCGGGCACAGCGCAGCACTGCAATGACCACTTCTCACAAACAAACGCTTTCTAAAGGGAACGGTCCCTGCGCTCGGCTTGCCTGGACCTGGAGTACACAGCCGTTGGGACTGCTCTGCAGGGACCGGCGGCGCCGCACTCTGCTGAAAGCCGAGGCGCTCCAGCTGCCTTCAGCCTCCAATCCTCAAACTCACCCTTGAGCAACAGCACGAAGTTCTTCTTGTCGTCGGTTCCCTTGGGGTACTCCCAGTCCATGTCGAGGCCGTCGAAGTTCCTGGCGCGCAGGAAGGGGATGGCGCTGTAGATGAAGGTCTGGCGGGCGTACCTCGACTTGGACATGTCCTTGAACTTCTGCGTGCCGAAGGACCAGCCACCTGGAGAGAGAGAGAGAGGTTATGATTAGTTTTCATCGACGAAGACGGTTCCTGACAAGAATCGAGACACTCTTGCTCGACACAGCTGCTTATCATGTTCTCAAATAATTGCTTCGCATCCTGCGTTCGACAGCGCCCTGTTGACGCTTTCACCGCCCGGCGCCCGGTGGTGCCCCCGGCTGCACGCGTCGCGCTAGCGTCGTGCGAACGAGAAAGCGATAAACGCCAACGACACTTTTGCAATTCTGTCGAGAAAATGTCGCGCAAAATACGTTGCTCCAATGCACCAACGACGACGACGACTTACCAATGGCGAGCAGCACCTTGAGCTTGGGGTTGGCCTTCTTCAGGGTCATGATGCGCTCGTAGAGCCCCACCTTGCCGTCCTTGGTCTCGTCGTTGGACTCGAACGAGGACAGCTTGCCCTTCTTGAGCCACCCGAAGGCGAAGATGACGTGGGTGCATAGGTCGGCCCCGATGTCCTCGGGGGTGAACTTGCCCACCTTGGGTCTGTACTGCGACCAGTTGGTGTAGTAGCAGACCACCTGCGAACAAAGGCCGAGAAGGAGTCAAGGGAGGACAATTGCATTTGAATGCTGGCTAGGCCAGTCAGCAGTGGTGGTGGTGAGATACACTGGTAAAAGGTTACAGTGAATTTCACCGTGTAAATTACTCGTACAGAAATTTAAGTCACAGGGCATGTCACTGCTGGTAAGTTATAGTTTTACAAGGAATAATAGATACAAGTAACTTCGGACAACGTCGTCGGCGTCCTCACCTTGTAGCCGCTGCTATCGGGCGCGACGGCGTTGCTGACGGTGGAGGACTTCCTGGAGGCGGCGACCACGGCGCCGGTGGCGACGGCGCCCGCCCCGGCGGCCCCAGCGGCGGCAGCGTTGAGGCGGCTCCGGACCTTGAAGCGGTTCACCGAGGCGGAGGGCTCCTGGTCCGCGCTGGGGGAGGAGGACGTCTTGTGGTTGTTCGTCGGCCTCCTAAGTCTCCGCCGCACGCCTATAAAGCAGGTCAATAAGAGAGTGTCAATTCCATCCGCTAGATCGAGTTGTTTCCTTCCTTGCCGTTTAACGCAACGTAAAAAAGAGAAGATAATGTCGGAACAATGCTCATCGTTTTAGCGAGGTCAATTTCGTCAATTCAGTACTTGTATGAGTAAGACCGACCGATGGACAGAAAATGCCCACGAACGCTAACAAATATTCCGACCCGACAGATGTTGTTTCAGTATCCTCGCATGACCAATTTGATCCCCAGTAAGCTTTAAAAAAAATAATAAAATAAAAGTTGTTTTGATACAGCAATTTCGTCTAGTTCGAAACTGATATCCTCGCGCGCTGAGCTGTCGGTTACTCGAGTCGCTCGCGCGTGACGTCAGAGCAAGTTGCGCTCTAGACGCCAGATCTGATGAGATCGGGATCACGGCGCTCACCTTGCACGACCCGCCCCGCCCCAGACCCTGCGCCTGAGCCGGTCAGTTGCACACGCCGCCCGCCCTTCTAGGTAGGTGGTCCACCAAGCTTATCAAACACTGAGATGGATTTCTTAGTTAGCTTTTACGGGTGCCGCCCTCAAGATCCCCATTGCGAGCCAAAGGCTTTTTACCTATCTCCAAACTTGCTTCCGAAAAAACTCAAGCCATCGACAATAAAAACTAAGACGCCTGCCCTTCTCTCTCTTTGAAAAAAATTAAAGATATTTTGACACACTGTCTTCAAAAGCGGCGCTCTTGGTGTTTGGTGTGGACACAGTAAAGTGCTTATCGTGCCTTCTGTGCGGTGCACGCCCAGAGGGTGGGCCGTTGCCTTGCGAACCACGAGGGACTGGGGGGTTTGAGGGGGAACTGCCACTACCGCCGTCAAGGAACGCAAAGAAAAGGCCGAGAAAAATATAGCAATATCGTATAAAATGGGTGTGGGAGAAGTGAAAGTGACTGGTTGGTCACTCTGTTAGCATGGCCAGAAGAGGAAGGGGGTGAGTGGGGGGAGGGG